GCCCGACGCCCTACGGCAGTCGTCCGTCGCCCGTCGCCATCCGCGTGCCCCCTGCCCCTGCCCCTGCCCCTGCCCCTGTCGTTTGCCATGCCACAGGTAATACTTCGTGCTGGGTTGAGAAAGAAAGACGTCGTATACACTATGGGCGGTAGAGCTTAATATTGGAGCACACATAGACCCGCCGCCCTTCGCATGTAATGCTTTGTGCTGAGTGGAATAAGGAAGAAGTCATATAACGCTATGAGCGGCAGAGATTAATATTGGAGCACACTTGGACCCAACCGTTTTATAAAAAATATAATTTTTTACTATAAATAAATAAATAAATACCAAACTAAACATGTTCTATAATTTTTTAATTTTTAACAACATATAAATAATAACAGTACCAAACGCATTTTCTCAAAAAAGAAAATATAAAACAATACAAAAATAAAACAAACTAAAAAAACAAAAATAGAAGTGATCCCAAACAGGCCCTAAATGTAATATTATAATGATGTGATATGAAATATTTGGGTGGCATAAATACAAAAATCAAAATTTAGGGGTTAGATATGTTAATACATAAGAATTTGGTGTCTAAGGAGTCATTGATCTTTTTATTTATTTTAATTAATAATGATTAAAAGGACTTAAATCTTGAACTAATACAAAATAGAGGTTTTTACATATGTAGCACGCAAAACTTTGCTATTTATTTCAATCCCAAGATTTATAATCTATGTTTTCCACATTGAAAATCTGTGTATATAACAGGTTTAACCTCTTTGTACCCTTCCTTCGATGGTTGTCATCTACACTTTCGCAGCAACGAACATCGATGATGATACCAACTTTACTACTAGTGTTTAGCCCATTAGACTCTGGAGAGCAATTGCAAATGATACTTGTGGTATTTCCTCCAAAAATTGTGGCGTTGAACTTGCTCCCCAATCTCTCAGGGACCCTATCAGAGAAATAATTGAATAAAAGATTCTATCTTTTAAAATGGAAGAGCTCTGAGATGGACTCCAGAAGCTCATCAATGAAGTGTTTGTTGTTGAGGTTGAGATCAATGCATTTGAAATCAAACGTTTTGATCATCCCCAAAAACCCCTTTTCCCTGCTCCAAAACCTCCCACCACCAATTAGAAATGAAACAAAGTATACCCTCTGCTTTGATGCTTCTTCAGTCACATTGACATTTCTCCAGACCTCACCGTCAGCATACTCCTATAGCCATCTTCGGCGAAATCAAAGTCATTTGTCTGCACAAAGGAAGACGTTACGCTAGAGATCATCCACAGAAAGGGTCGCAGGTTGGGAGGTTACAGGAAGTTAACATCTTTAATGTGAATTTTAATTGGTTGCAGAGCTAATTCCAGCTACATTTGACGGTTTGAGATGCATATAGCATCTAGATAATGGGAGAAATAGGCATAAAAAAATTGTTTCCAGTGTTGTTTGTAGACTGTCGAAGCAGCAAAATTTCATTTTTTCTTATAATTCCTTCTCCGGCAAGGCCCCAAAATGTGTTGGGAGGAGAGGGGTGGAGTTGGATGGGAGAGAAAACTGCATCGCTAGATTCTGAGCCAACAACCGCCGAGTCAGTGCATAGCTGCTGCTATGAAGTCTTTTGATTGTAAGAAAATGAAGCACGGCGTAGGAGAGTGTCCACTCCCAACGCGACGCACCAGGGTGGGAGACCGAGTTTGAGCTCACCACCGCCGCCAAAGCAAGGTGGTAGTGTTGGGACAAGAAGGTCCCCGCCGCCACCTATACCAGTTAATGGACTACATAAGGGGAAATTCTCTACTTCTCCACCGTTGTCGTTATCATGGTCATCTTTGTCTAAAAAATCTAACCAAGCTTGCGAGGGTCAAAGAAGACAGCGAGTTTAGAGCAAAAGATGAGAATTCATAGCAAAGTGGAGAGCGACGGATGAAGATGGAAGGAAACAGAGTGTTGAATACATAAATACTAATATTTGGGTTTGAAATAAGTAAATAGCAAAGTTTTGCAGCCTACGTATATAAAAACACCTAAATAATATATGCTTATTTTTATAAATTTTGATTATTTTTAAATAAAATTTAAAAAAAAAAAAAAAAATCTAGAAAAATCATATCAATTCAAACAGAAAACAAAAGTGATGCCAAACAAACTCTTTATTTTAAAAATTAATATTATTACATTTCATATATTCCATTTTTGTATTATTCTTAATATTTTGTATTTTTAATTTATATATATATATATATATAATTTTGATTATAATAGTGTCTGATATGTGTTTATGTCCTATATTTTCAATAATAGATGTGTCTTGTGTACGTGTCTCTGTGTTTGTATCTGTGCAGCATAGGTCCTACCACACTCCATCAAACCGCTATGATTTGCCCAAAATAATGTGGCATGCATCAATACCTTTGACATCATACAATACTACGCAACTATGTTATTTTCCATTCAAATTATTTGCACTGAGACAGTAGAAGTCTTTAATGTAAGCACTTTTAGTCCCGATCACCTTGAACACTTCTTTGATACTGCAAATATTGCCTTTTCTCATAATTGGCCGGTAGAAAATGCCTATATACTTGTCTATGATTTGTTGCCTTCACTTTTATTGGTACTTATTGGTTCTTAAGGAATGTTTTCTTAAGAAGTGGGCTAACAATATAAAATGAAACTATAAAATTACGTCATATTTCTATCTCCTCTTTTATAACATCACGGATCCTCTCACAGAGCATACTACTAGGCTTATGTGTCATTTAAGTCATTCATAATACTTATTGTCACATCCTCATACACTGTGCAATATTTCAAGAACCTTTTTCAATAATTCTATCTTTCAAACTATCTTTTAATCTACTTAAGAAGCACAAACACTAACGATATTTATAATGTCCTTATAGAAATTCAACTTAATATCAATCACCCTAAGACTATCCTTATTTTACTCAATAGTTTAATCTTTCAACTCTTTGCCAACTATGATTCACGTTCCATTTCTATTTTTAACTTTTCCAACTAGCTGATTTTTCCTTTTCCATATAATTTATTACAACTAGTAATATGTATTATTCTACTATTAATTGGGTCCATAAATTTTATTTTCTAAATCAAAATCCTCAAATTTCATGTAGCAAATATAATCTTAATTTGCTCAATCCAATGTCCATGTTTGACTGATCATTTGATCCTTTTTGAGGATTTCCCAATTGTTTTTTGGTTGACGATCAATAATGAATAAAGGGATAACTTCTTGTACTAAAAAGAGAATTTGATTGTCATAAGTAGAGCAAAAACAGTCATCAACTATTACATAGGCTTCTAACTCCGACCAGTTACAATCACAAGCTAAAAATGGAATTATCGATACCAATACTTGTCATCTAGCACAATTTAACGCATTACAAGAGCCAGTTGAGAAGGCAGCCTATGCAGCAATAAGTTCCAACGAAGATCAGAAACTCCAAAAGGCAATCTTTTCCAGTCTAAAAACAACCAAGATTAGCAGCAAGGAGAAGAGAACTCTAAGCAGACAAGACCGGGAAAAAAAGACGTCCGAACTGGTAAGGAAAATCATGAGTGATTTGAAAAGAACAAGCCATACTGAGTATAGAAGAAGAAGTTGAAGGCACCCCTGAAGAGGACCATCTGACCCAGAAGCCAGGCCATGAACAGAAAAGCAACGGCTCGGTAAGCCAGCAACCAGAATGGGCTCACCTTTCTCCAGCAGGGAGCCCACAGACAAGCCGCCCAAAGCGGCTGCTTCTCTATCTTCAAAATAACAGTCACTGCAATCACTGAAGGTAGGGCAGCGATGATCGCGCAGACGGCGACCTGCCACCTCATCCAGTACGCCAATCCCTCGTCTTCCAACATCACGCACCCTGCAACAATTAATGAAAACCATAAGTTTCATCTGTGGCGATGCAGATAGAAATCTCAACACCACCCCGATATCTACCGTTCGAAAGCTCGATAGATCCGAACTTGAGGAAAAACTTTTGGGTAAAAACAAAATATTTCGAGTTACATGAATCAGAAAAGAGAACTGAAGGGCTGTTCGACTCTTCAGTCGAGAAAACAAAGGTAATTGCTGGCGTCCTATTTATTGAACGTAGTCCTCGATTTGAGAAATATTTACTAACGGAGTGAGTGTGTACTGCAAGCAATAACCTTCACCAACTCTGTAATAACTGACTTCTTATTCTGATGCAGACATCTTACGTGCGGTGTCCAATGAAAAGATGACGCTTGGAACAGTGGCCCCCACAACTTAAAAAATTAAATTGTGCAGACATCTTGCGTGCGGTGTCTAATGAAAAGATGACGCTTGGAACAGTGGCCCTCACAACTTAAAAAATTAAATTAAGGCATGCTTAGGCGCGACCCGGCCCGAATCTGGCCCGAAACAGGTAAAAGTTAACAGCGCGCCTGAAAGAAAGTTTATTTCATCGGAAAACCAAACGACGCCCGAGCGAGGATGTTTGTCAGTAAAAGTAAAGTTGCATTTTTTTCTTACCAAGATGGAATCTGAGCCCAGGCAGATGGAAACCTAAAAGAGCACCATGAGAATGAAGACGGAAGTGTTGTTGATAACGGAGAATGAAGAGGATTCGACAATGGAGGCTGATAAATGCAAGAAAAACGAAGTGAAAGAGCAAAAGAAGAAGGAAATCCAAGAGGGTTCATCCAGGTAATTTTTATTTTGATGTTTTTGAGTTGTACATAAATGCACACAAAATTACCTTAAAAAAACCAACATTAAACCGCACTAAAACCTGTTATTTAATTATAATACCAAACTAATCACTATTTAACACTACCTTAAATATTACCTGAGTATTACAGAAAAGAGTACTACATAAATAATATTATAATAATAACAGAATACAATGGAAAAACTACCATAATATAACCTTAATACTACACCAGGATATAACCTTAATAATATTAATATCTGAATACAACGAAAAAACTTCTATAATATAACCTAAGTACTAAACCTAAATACCAAAAATACAACAGCAATACAACCAGAATATAACCTAAATACTACAATGTCAGAATACAATAACCTAAATAATACTATACGAGATCACATAATATTGCTTAAATATTACCATAGTATTCTCGAAATAAAACATTTCTACATAACCCCTTATATTTTTTGCATTATTTTGTTTGATGTAGGTTTATGAACCCAAGGTCCATGAGTTGTAGATGTCGATCATCTGTAGTTAGAGATGCGCATGATAAGGTCAGGCCTGCTGTATCTGACGAGATGAGGAATGAGCTGAAAACCTTGAATGTTGATCAGTTCTTTGCACTTCCACCTTATCCCCAAGACAATGTGGTCACACTTCAAATATTACAATGTTAAATATATGAAAAAATGATTTTCAGACTGGGAGGGAAAGATCTGAGGATTAATCTTGATGAAGTTGTCCTCTTGATTGGCATGCCAAATAAAGGAGAAGTTCCAAAGTGGAAGAAAGGTCCATCTTGTGGCGTTGACGCCCGTCAAATGAAGGCTGATCTGTTGAACTTCGGAACTGGGGAGTCTTCTACCCCTTTTAATTAATTGTATATAAAATATTTGTTAATATTTGTTATCAAATTTATTTGTAATTTCAGTGTATCCAAAGGACTTTACATCTTTGGAGAGAATGTAGATACATTTGCTTCATTTAATTGGCCCGCTGCGCTATGTGAATATCTTATTGAGCAAATAAATACGGTTGCCATCAAAATAAGGCGGAACCGGCCTTTGGGATATATAAATGGTTTTCTTTTTTTGCTAACGGTAAGTACATCGTATTAAAACCAAATGCTATTTATTTTGATTTCTTTGTGTAAAGCTAAATATGTCTTTTTCACACAGCTCTGGTTTTATGAGCACACTTCTTTGATTACTCCTGCGAATCCTGAGGCTAGACCTCGAATGTTGAGGTGGCCAACAACTGTAAGCTTGAGCTCATCCCAACTGGATATAGCTTTTAAGATGTTGACTCCTCATCAAGTTACATATATTTTTGTATTTCCAATTAAATTATTATGTTATTTTGAAACTAGTAATGATCAAAGCGTTTCTTTTTGAAATTACTCGCAGGTTTATGATAAAATTTTGGATCTGAAAGATGATGATCTCAATCTGTTATCCAATCCAGATGAAGGATTACCTGGTCCAATTCCGGTGACGCGAGTCCAAGGCAGACCAGAGGCACCTGTATCATTTGATATTGGGCCAGTTGATTTCGGGGACA